CATGACTGATGGGCCCTGCGGCTGATTCCATAATTTGGACATGCAGGTTGCTTTACAGTAAGCAGAGTGTGGTTCTTAAGGGGTGTATACCTAAGAAGTGGTGTGGCTGGATCATATGGGAGGTCTGTTTTTCCTTTTAAGGAAACTCCACACTGATTTACTCAGTGGCCACAATAATTTACATCCCTACCAGCACTGGCTGAGTTCATTCACCTCCACACACACCCCTAGCCTCACCAGCACTTATTTGTTGTTTTTACTATGTGATAGCCGTTCTGGCTAGGGTGAGGTAGAATCCCAGTGTAGTTTTGATTTACATTTCCCTGATAGCTAAGGTTGTAGAACTTTCTTTATATATTTATCAGACATTTGTACCTTCTCACTGAAAGTGTCTGTCCAGTTCATTTTCCCATCTATTAGATTATTTGGTATTTAACTTTGTGAGCTCTTTATATATTTGTGAGCTCTTTATATATTCCAGATATTAATGATGTGTCAAGTGAATTTCTGGCAAGGATTTTCTTCCATTCAGTCTGTTATCACTTCACTCTGGACACTGTTTCTTTTGCCTTGCAGAAGCTTTGTAATTGGATGCAATCCCATTTGCCAATTCTTGAGCTAATGGAATCCTGTTCAGAAAGTCGGTCTCTCTGCCTCTATCTTTAAGCTACATCCCCTTCATGTTTTCCTCCCATGGAAGAATGTTTTTGTTCTTGGAAGATCTTTGCTGAAGTTTCAGGAGTTTCGTGATATCTGTCGTTATTTCAAATGGCTTGGAATAAAATACAAAAACAACTGTCTGTGAAGACAGAACACACATCAGCAGGAAGTTAATAAAAGACAACGGGACACAGATGTTTCTTCTGATTTTTCTGTAAGTTGGAATTTTTTTTCTAAAAATTAAACTTCAGGGGGGGGGGGAAAAGAGCTCTGATGGTTCAGGACACTAGATAGAAAAGGAATCTCCAACCCTGCAATGAGGAGGCTTCACAGCACCCAGAGGGGATCACGTGACCACCATGGAGGCTGGGCCCTGTGCCCAGCCAGGGGTGTGTCCAGGGCAAGCAGGCTGTGCCAGCACTGCTATTGGTTGAGGTGGCAATCCTGGAGAAGGAGTAGTTGTTTTTTGTTTTTTGGGGGGAGGGAGATAAACTGTTTGCCTCAGACAACCACAGACTCCCTCTAAGTCCACACAGGGCCTGAGATACCAACTGCTGATGTAAAAGGACGTGGCTCAAAGGAACAACAGAGTAAGGAAGAGAGCGACAAAGAATAGAAAGAAACAGCCACAGAATCCGAATAAGCCTGGCCAATGGGATGGCCAGACTCCAGGCAGAGGGAGGAAATGTTCAAGTGCTCCTGAGATGCCACTCAAGATGAGAATGCTGAATGCTGTGTGATTCACCCGGAATTTGCTGGAACTTTATCTTTTACCAGGCTGGAAATACTTGTGCAGCTAGAGGGAGGAGGGGGAGGGAGAGGAGCTAAGATCCACAGGAACCCTGTGGCTTCTCTGGCACTGCCTTGCCTACCACATGGCCTGGTTCTCTACCCAGCTGCTTGGACCTTCTCCCCATACTGTCTTGAGAGCACAGAGGCTGTGGCCAGTTCTTCCTGTGGGATTTTCTTCTCTGATTTCTAGAAAAAAGGTAGGTCTTAGGAGTTTTCGAAGGACAAGAAGGCTACTTGGTGTCCAAGCAAGTTCAAATACCAAGAGATCAAACTTGCTGTTGCAAGTCCAACCCGAACTTTTATGTGCTTATTTATTTAGTCCATTTACAGTATTAGCTTGTGCCAATACTGAAGCTTGAACTCAGGGCCTTGCCCTCTTGTTTGGCCTTTTTCATTCAAGGCATTCTACTACTTGAGCCACAATCCACTTCTGGCTTTTCACTGGTTAACTGGATTTAAGAGATGAACAGACTTTTTGCTTAGATTGGTCAAACTGCAATCCTCAGATCTCAGCCTTGTGTGTGTAGCTAGGATTACAGGTGTGAGCCACCAGCACAGGGCAGACTCAAACTTTAAGAGCCGTAGACTGAGAAATGATCATATTAAGTACACCTGCCATCCACCCAAAGCTGGTCACAGGCATAGAGAGGCTAGGAAAAGGGAAAGTAAGAACTGACTTGTCCAGCTCAAAGAGCACAATCCTGTCACTGGGATGAGTTGTCACCAGCTAGAGAAATCCAAAATCAAGAGTCCATCCATCCATCTCCTGACTCAGCACTGTGCTCACATGAGCTTCAGTGATAGAGAATATGGCATTCAGGCTAGTCCTGACCACTGCCCCTAGGGAAACTGAGCCTCTCCTCAATCCACACATTTGGGAAACTCATTGGCTTTAACAAACTGTTCCCCAAACACCTGGCCTATGCATGCTCCCACAATGCGCAGTGATATCCAGAAAGTGCTTCAAGGGTCTCGCTTGCCTGAAAAAATACATCAGCTGACAGAAAAACAAACCCCGGCTTGGCTCTTGTGAAACATTCACATCAGGGAGAAACACACGAGCCCATTTGGTGAGATTTAACACGCTTTAACAGAATCCAGGTGAAAGTCTCTATCTGGAAAAACAGAAGAATCTCATAAGCCGCCTCCAAGAAACAGTTCTCTTAGAAAAGAGAAAAAAAGATGTGAAGTCTTCAGTGGAATTGGATTGCTCGGGTGGGAAACTTTCTATGTAATCCCAACTGGCGTGTGTATGTGTATGTGTGTGCGTGTGCGCACGTGCTCACGAGCGTACACACTAGTATTGGGGCTTGAAATTAGGGCCTGCGTGCTGTCACTTAACTTTTTTGCTCAAGGCTGGAGCTCTTCCACTTGAGCCACAGCTCTATTTTCTGGGGTTTTTTTTTGGTAGTTAACTGGAGATAAAAGTCTCGTGGACATTTCTGCCCGGGCTGACCTTTGAACCTTAGTCCTCAGATCTCAACCTTGAGTAGGTAGGCTTACAAACATGAGCCACCCACAATCTGCTATAATCCCAATTTAAGTGGCAGTTTGCAAATGTCTGAGATGGTGAGACCTGCCTGCATTTCCCCCATGCTTTGGAACTCTCATGTGTGTATGTTGGAGGTAATCAAGTTTGAAACTTAGTCATGTATAATTCCCAAACACCCCCACTCAAAGACTACAGACAAGAACCTACTTGAAATAGGTCGAGTGTATATTATTCAGAAGTTAAGACACAAGGGACACCAGGCCTAAAGTTGGAGATAAATCGCTCCTTGTACTGGCAGTGTCTCCTGTTATTTCGTGTGTGGAGGCACAAGGCCGCAGCTCAGGAGATTTCCATTCAGCATGTGTGAGTACTCAGTCTCTCACACACAGGCTTTTTATAGAGCCCTCGTGTGCCCACATTGGCTTTAGGGCTGAAATCCTAAGCTGCAGTATGTGTCTCTGCTAATAATAGGGCTCATCTCCCCAGGCCTACAAGCAACCCGAGAGCTAGCAAGGGAATAAGTCCAAACAATGGTTCAGGGCTGCAGCTTGACCAAACACATCCCCTGACACAGCAGCTCAGCTCTCTGCAGGTCCAGCCGTGGTCCCTGGAACCCTGGATGAATCTTCTGCCCTCAGCATTGGACACAAGGTGCAGGTGTGCAATTCCACCAGGACACTCTGGCACTATGCTTCCAATCCATTGCCTAAGATGATGATCCATTAGCTCCTTAAAGGGACAATTTTTAGAAGATCATGGCTAAAATCAGATTTGATTAGAAAATGATTCTTGGGTAAGAATAAGCTAATGGTTGTGGTTTTATAGCATCAAAAGATTGAAATCCTACCACCAGTAGAAATCAAACCACTGCTCCTCGTTGAGCCTCCATCAAGAAGACAAGCCAAGGATCTGGGACATAGGTACCTTAATGGCAGAATGCTTGCCTAGCATTCATAAGATCCTGGGTTCTATTCCCAGCACTGAAGAAAAATGAAAAAAAAAAAAAAAAGAACAACAACACCTACTTCAAAATCTCAGGCCACTTTTTCCACAAGGGGAGATTTTCTGTTCACAGTCCTTTAACATGGACACCATGGTGACAGGCAAGTCGGGAAACAAGGGTCAGTTTTCAACTTCCCAGGCAAGTGGTTTAAATACAGAGTTAACATGTGATTTGAGTAGATCTTCATTTGGATATATGCAAAGTCTTTTCTTCAAAAAAAAAAAGAAACACCTATCTCCCAAACAAAATTTTCAAATCCCAAGCAAAGTTTGACACATGTACAGATAGGTCAACAGTTCCTCTGGGGTTACTTTTTATAAATATCTGCAGGAAATCCCCCCCCACTCCACCCCTGATTCCCACCCCCCCAAAGTGGCTAAGAAACTCTCATCATAGTCAAGGCACTGGTGGCTCATGCCTATAATCTTTGGTACTCAGGGCTGAGATCTGAAGATTGTGGTTCAAAGCCAGCCTGGGTAGGAAAGTCTGTGAGACTTTTATCTCCAATTAATTTTTTAAAGCTAAAAACAGAGCTATAGGTAAAGTGGTAGAGCGCTAGCCTTGAGAGAAAAAGGGACAGTAAAGAAAAAGGGAGAGAGGGAAAAGAAGAAAAAGAAGGAAGGAAGGAAGAGAGGGGGAAGGAGGGAAGGAAGGAAGGGAGAGAAAGAGAGAAAGAAGAGAAAGAAAAAGAAAGAAAGAGAAGAGAAAGGAAGGAAGGGAGGGAGGGAGGAAGGGAGGAAGGAAGGAAGGAAGGAAGGAAGGAAGGAAGGAAGGAAGGAAGGAAGGAAGGAAGGTCGGTCTCAGTTCCATGGTTCACTTCTAGAGAGTGTTAACTTCCAGAGAGCCTGTGTGTATCTAAATGCTCGTGGGACCGCTGGGAAGGACAGGAGCCCTTTAGGACCTAGGCAAGAGCCTCTCCAACGTCCCCCCAGAATAGAGGTGTCTTGAAGGTCATCCACTGCCCAGGACCTGGGTGTGATTCAACTGTTTCTTCCCCAGCCTTGGCTCTTCTTGTCACCTCTGCTGATGAAGCAGTCTGTTTCCTGGCTGTGACCCAGAGGGAAGGAGGAGAGGGACCTGCCTACAATAATGTGACGACGTAGAATGCGCAGGGCATTTTGATTAAAAACAACAACAACAATACTTGGTAATCAATGGAACCCTGTCAAGCCAAAGTATCAAATCACCAGAGGGAAACAGTAACTTAGCTTTCCTGAATCGACACAGGCAAACATCATTTTTCCTTAAGATCATTATTTAGCACCGTTGTCTCTCTTTGGGAGTTTTGCCTTTTCCTGCAAGCCCTTGGCTGTGACAGCACTGTCGGCTCAGATCAGTGGGACTTTTAATCAGTAACACAGCTGGTGTGAGGGGCTCCTGGGATCCACAGTGAGCTCAGACCCTCAGCAGCTCTTCTTCCTGGGGGAGGGCCATCCTGGCATGGAGGGAGGGGGTATGGCGGCCTCACAGTCTCCTGGGCTTTCACTCGAAGCGACGCAGGTGATTGTACAGTGACTGGACGTAGGTGAAGACACACATAGGGTCTGGCTTACGGCCCATCACCATCATGTCCTCCACTTCAATGAGGCGTTCACAGTTGGCCAGATTCCTGAAACACAGAAGCGTCCATCAGAACTCGAGGTAGCAAGCTGTAGGACTCAGCCTGGCGCCAGAAGTGTTCAGTACACACCAACAGGGAGCTCAGATGCCTTCCCCCCAGACCCCAAGAACCTTCAGAGGCATTGTCTATCAGTGTGGATTAAATGCAAACAAGCCAGGCACGGTGGCTCACACCTGCAATCCAAGCTACTCAAGAGGCTGAGATCTGAGGATCATAGTCTGAAACCACCTGAAGCAGGAAAAAATCTCTCAGACTCTTATCTCCAATTAATCACCAAAAAGCCAGAAGTGGAGCCATAGCTCAAATAGAGTGTTAGCCTTGAATAAGAAAAAATGCTCAGGCATCACCGGACAGAGGTGAGGTTTAGTGAAGCTCCCCTTTAAATATAGGAACTCTTAGCCGGGCGCTGGTGGCTCACGCCTGTAATCCTAGCTACTCAGGAGGCTGAGATCTGAGGATCACAGTTCAAAGCCAGCCCGGGCAGG